CAGTGGTCAGCTTTCTTTATGGTCCAGCTCCCACTTCTGAACACCACTACAGGAAAAACCATAGCTTTGACTATTCGGACTTTTGTTGGCAAGGTGATGTCTCTGCTTTTTAAGATGCTGTCGAGGTTTGTCATTGCTTTCCTCCCAAGAAGTAGGCGTCTTTTAATTTCGTGGTTGTTGTCTCCATCTGCAGTGATCAGATGTGTTAGCTGGTCAAATTTCCCACTTAGCAGTCTACAGAAAAGCCAAGTTTCACTTTACAGACTTTCAGGAAATTCAAAAATATTAAGGATCATTGACTCTAGTGCTCTTTTGGAAAACTCAGGCTTTATAGTCAGTGCCTGGAATGAGTTGACTGAAAGAAAGGAGAGTAATGCCTTTGGGTAATTGGAAGGGATTAACACCCAAAGATTATCTGGGTGTGAGTGGCGTCCAAGGCCAGGCTGGCTTTTATTTTTATTTTTTAAAGTACTGAGCTAATTGGAAAGATGGTTTTCAGCTGAGTAAAGAGAAGGGGCAGAAACTGCTCTTACCTTTATGAATGTTTGAGGGAAGCTGCTGCCTGATTGGGAGATTCTCTGGAAAAGTCCAGAAGTAGAAGCTTTAGGTATAAAAATGGGGTCAGAATTTATGTTAAGGGGCTTAGTTATCTTTCAGGAGAGATGCTATGCTTTTTTTGCTGTTATGGGCTTTGTATATGCTCTCAGGATATGCTGAAGCAATGCTAGACTATAAGTACTAGGATAGTTTAGTTACCATTCTTATTTTCTGTTATGTTTGCTCTGTATTGCAGCAGAACAGTGAGTAGACAGTCTCCCCCACCCTGTTATCTCCACCAGTGGGGGGGGGGATTCGTATTTGTATACAAACAACCTCATCTCTACTTGTGGATTTTTGTGAACTTCCTGCAAGCATCTGGAAGGAATCTGATTAGCTTAAGCTGTTGGGAGGCTCCAGCAATCACTGTATTTGGCCCTCCTGGTTTTGCCCACACCAGAGTAGTTAGCTGAGGGCCTTAGCTAAGGGGGCTAAGCATGGGGATCCTTGACAAGGATTTCTGGAGGTCGGGTCAAGATCCCCCATCTGTCCAAATGTTCAAAACAACATCCCCCCTGTGTTTATTTATTCAAATGGCCATCATAGCCAATTCCAGGACTGCTCTTGTCTACAATGAGATCTGGGGTAAGCCTCTAGGCCCCTGAAGCTGTTGACATTGACCACCTCTGACTTAAAACATGGTTTCAGATCCCAGCTTGTTCTAAAACCAGGGTTCAAATCCGAATGTTTAAAAGCAGAAATTGATGCTTTCTATTTCAGTTCTTGAGGCTATGCAATGGGAAGGCACAAAGGAACATTCAAGCAATGCACTTTCCTGAAGGCTCCTTAATATAGCAAGAAATCATGGCTTCTTCTTAAGCTTGGCATATTGTTCATAGACTACCTTTAGAATACCCTATTGCTATACAGTATATTATCGGATATGGGTCAGTAGTTACTAGTCTGCATGGAAGACTGAGACACCTGAAGTACTCTCATAGATAAAGCAAATGTTATGATTCTTTGCCTTTCCTAGTACAGTGGTGCCTTGACTTATGAACTTAATCCATCCCAGAAGATGTTCGTCAAAATGTTCAAAAGTCAAATCAGCATTTCCCACAGGAATGCATTAAAACCAATTAATCCGTTCTGGCTGTTTTTTGTACCATGGAAGACTGAGACACCTGAAGTACTCTCATAGATAAAGCAAATGTTATGATTCTTTGCCTTTCCTAGTACAGTGGTGCCTTGACTTATGAACTTAATCCATCCCAGAAGATGTTCGTCAAAATGTTCAAAAGTCAAATCAGCATTTCCCACAGGAATGCATTAAAACCAATTAATCCGTTCTGGCTGTTTTTTGTTTGTACGTATGTAGAGGCGCCATTTGTAAATTGAAGCATTAGTTCCCCTAGGAACTAATGCAAAACCAGTTAATCCATCCTCTACCACGAGGGGGAGAATTTTTTTAAACCTAAAATGACTTAGGTTTTAAAAAGGGCAGGAAAGAAGGGAGGGAACAAACATCTTTTAAGCAAAACACCTTTAAAACCAAGCAGCTTTAAACCAAACAAAGCACCTTTTAAACCACTTTTTACATTTTAAAATTACAGTACCAGGCAGTCTAAAGTCCATTTCCTGCTTTTCCCACTTTTTTGCTCGTAAGTCAAAGCTCCGTTCGCAAGCTGAAGCAAAATTTTGCTGTTCGTAAGTCAAAATGTTTGTATGTAGGGGCATTCGTAAGTCGAGGCACCACTTAGTGGAAAGTTATGGATTACATTACAGAGACATCAATGGTATTTGGTAATTAATTAATATGGAATGGTCCACTTGTGAAAAAAAATCAGGAATGAAAGCATAGATAGAAGGAATGCAGGTCATATTTTAAATGTAATTCTATAGCATAGGTTCAAGATAAAGAATGGTTTCCAACTGAAATGTGCATCTTAAGTTAGTTTTTGTGAATACTAACCAATATCTAATTAAAAGGCTTTCTCTAAGGGAAGCGTTTCAGTGAAGAACACATATATTCTCCATGGTTCTTTAAAAATATTTTATTATTGTATTGCTGATCCTAGAGTACAAAAGAAACAAAATCTCTGGTTTTATAATACATGCTTCATTAATCCCAGTACATAAATGAAAGCCGCACCAACAATAAGCTAATGGAAGTTTCATATTTGAATAGCTCCAACTGGTGAATGCTTTCAGGCAGCTAATCAGCAACAAAGGTATACCCTTATTTGCTTTCTCTCTGTTACTCTAGTCTAAAGGTATATGCTAAAAAAACATGAACATGGAAAATTCATAGTATTATTCCTG